TATTATTATTATTATTATTATTATTATTATTATTATTATTATTATTATTATTATTATTATTATTATTATTATTAATACTGTTGTTTTTATTATTATCACCAATTGCATCATTTCCATTATCATCACTGCTGATATAATGAGTACTAGTAATGCTAGATTGTGAATTTCCATTAAGTTGTAAATTTTCTTCATTTGATTGTGGATATCCATTGAATTCTGAATCATTTGATTGTGAATCTTCATTTGATTGTGAATCTTCTTGAATTTGTGAGTCTTCATTTAATTGTGAGGCTTCTCGTATTTGGATATTTGAATTGTCAGAATTTGAAAAGCTTTCAGGATTATTTAAGGATTTTCCAGTGCCACTTACAGTTGTGTTGTCGTTATTAGAATCATTAGTAGCAGCATTATTTACATTTGTCGCTGCCACTTTGCACAAGATCTCCTTTAGTTCTGGCGTGATCTTATGAGTTGGGATTATTAACTTGGCCCTTGACCCAGAAGAACTGTTGGTCTTGCTAACTTTAGATTTTCTATTTGTGTTATTCGTTTTGCTTGTAGAGAGAACGTAATCGTTGTATTTGCTGTTGATTTTCACGTTTCTTTTCATCTTGAGTAATAAATGTTAATAAGTTGGTGTATTGTTGTTGATTATGTATTGGTAAATTTCAAATAACGAATAAGAGAATTGTTAATTCACAAATTATAAAAAACGCGTGACTTTACATTAAATTAAAAATGGGATTTTTTAAATATTCTATTGTCATACAACAATATGTAGTACGAAGGAAAAAAAAAACATTTCTACCTTTTTAAGCAAATGTTGAGATTCTAAAGGGCGCTATTGTTCTACTCTCTAAAAATCTTTTTCTTCGGTAAAGATTCTTTATATAGTTGAGAAAAATTCATCTGCAATTTTTTTGTTAATTAGAGGAAATGGTGAGAATTAAAGGTGATGGATGACCTGTTTACCATTATTATTTTGTTTTATGCATAATCTATTTTGTTATAAATAAGTGTGGTTTTGTTTATTTTATAGTGGTGACAAAAAAGATTTGCAATAAGAATAATTCGAATAAAACGAATAAAATGAATAAAACGAATAAAATGAATAAAACGAATAAAATGAATAAAACGAATAACGAATAAAATGAATAATTCCAATAATAATAAACGAATAAAAAGAATAACGAGTAAAACGAATAAAAACAGTAAACGAACTAATTGAGTTGTATTACGAATAATTCGAATAAGAATTTGTATTATGAATTTCAATTATTGATACTTGCTCTCAGGATTTAAATTTCGCTTCTTTATTGTATCTTGGAATAATACGCCTTCTCCAGTCTGAACCTTTTCTCCCTTATTTTTAGCATATTTCCCAGATGAAATAGCTTTAGCTCTTGGTCTCTTTTGTATTTCTACATACTCAATCTCTTCTCTTATCTCTACTAAATCTCCATCCTACTGTCATTGAGATATGAAATTGCTTTAGCGATATAGTTAAAAGTATTAGTTATATAAGATAACATTTTCGTTTTCTTTTTACAGTCTGCCCTTCTTTCAACGAAGTGGCTGGACATATAAGAAAATTTTATTCAACATTCGTTGAAACAAGGTTAATCGCGTTTCAACGAATTTTTATATGTTTTCATAATGTGTAATAACGTTTTTAAAAATTCGTTGTATCAAAAATTTAATTATACTTCGTTGAAACAAGGGTTTACTGTTTAATTTGAAAATTTTATCAATTTTATTATTTTTTCTAGTTTCATTAACAGACATGCCACACATGTCTTACTCATTTCACTCGCTTGCCTGTTAACCATTATTATGACTAGTTTGTTATCTATTATTTTTTCTAGTTTTGTTAACAGACATGCTACACATGTCTTGCTCATTTCACTCACTTTCCTGTTAACTATTATGACAAAAATTTTTTTTCTTTGATGTATATCTAATGGTATTGAAATTACTATGAAACAGGTCTCTGGAACACCTTGTGATTAAGATTTCTGGCTGAAACTGCTTCTATTAGTAGCCGAAATTGCCCAAATACTTTGGACAAAAATTATTTTTTTATAAGCCCAAACTACTTTTTGTTATTAGCTGAAATTGGGCAAAATTATTTTAAAGTTGTTTAAGTTAAAACAAGTTGATTCATGTAGTTTTTTAATGTCCCTATAAAAAATCTGGTACAGATACAGAATTTTACCTGAAATCCACATTTTTCCATACATTTCTGTGCCAAATTTTTTATAGGGTGTTCATGCTTATAAAAAATGTTGAGAAGCCCAATTGCCCAAACTAGTTTGGGCTTTGAAAAAACAGTTTGGACCAGAAACCTTAGTGCCAATCTCTAATTAAAAAATATATATTTTTTCCCACAAGGATTAATAAACCTTGTGAAAATATTTTATCTTTATTTTATTATTTATCAAGATTAATTGCCAATTATTTGGTTGAGTATTTATAAATTTCTACATTAAACTAATTGGATAGTTGGTTGCGGTGTTCGATGGCGGTTGATCATCAAACATATGTTACATCAATATTAATATAACAAATTATTATGTGCGGATTTTTTTAGTATCTTTATCATATCAGTCACCCGTGATGTCACACGATCAATATAGTGACTGCAATAACTATGTAAGATTTATGTGTAACATTTCGATTTT